AGTATTAATTGGTCAAGCGGACCACGAAATTAGTGAAGTTAGTGTAAGTGTTGGTATTTATTAGTGTGAAGGTTGGTGGGTATTCAGGTGAATAACCAGTACCTTGAGACCATCAGAACTTAGAATAAATCACAATATATGTACGCACATATCGGGGTAATTAAGTTCCAGAAATTTTCATAATTGACAAATAGTAAATGGTGATTGATGGACTGAGTGCGGTGTTCAGTCCTATTTTCAAAAAGATAGTTCCTACTGACAGTAGGTTGTTTTCCAGCGATCCGGATTTCAAGCCCTTCGCTCACGTCAGGTTGAAGGATTTCTACTACCAAGTCTCTCGACATGAATTGCGAAATTGAACCCGCCGATACCCCCACCAACGCGACGTTTCAATGAGAAGCTGGTTTTTTAATGGCGTTCAATTTGAACGTGCGAAAAGCGGGAATTGTAACACAAGTAAATATACTAATAATAATATATAACAATGCACAAGTAAATAGTAGGACAATTTCTAGTTAGTATGAATGTATTTATTAGCACGATTGATGATGGGAATTGAGGGGAGTATCCAGTATCCTAGATCCGCCAAACTTTGGTTAAGCCACAATGTGTATATCCAGGTATGTGTGTACGTGAGATCCAGATAATTGGATATTTTATAATATGCAAGTTTTTAGTTAGTGTGAATATATTTATCAGCGTGAATGATTGTTTTTTACAAGGGTATCCAGAGTAACCTGAGACCCGTCAAATTTTGGATAGACCACACTATATGGATGTAACGTAAGTGTGTCATTAGTTGCAGAGTCTTTTCCAATTGGACATATATTATGAAAGTTCCTAGTTATGCGAAAGATAGTAGGATTTGATGGGGAGTATCCACCAGAGACCGGCCAAACCTAGGTTAAGCCACAACGTATATATGCAGGTATGTGTGTACGTGAGATCCAGAATCTTTTCTAATTGGACATTTTACAATATGGAAGTTTTTAGTTATTTATTAGCGAGAATAGTTGTTTTTTCACCAGGGTATCCGGTAACCTGAGACCAGCCAATCTTAGATTAGACCACAATACTCACAGATTCGTTCTCAGCTGAATGCAAACTGGGTTATATCATTATTTACTTTACAAAACAATAGTACGTCATCAAATAAACGTAGTTTTTTAAATAATTTTATTTATCTTAACACAAAAAACACCCAAAAAATTAAATTGTTCCTTTATCATGATTATTAAATAATAGAAAAGAAAGTACCTTGTGCGAACTATGATTGTGTCATAGAAAGTCCTTTAATATTTTGTATGTCCTCCTTTGGCTTTCAAAACTGCATCAGTCCTTCTGGGCATACTTCTCAGGAGATTTCTGTACTGTTCTGGATCAATTAGGTCTCATTCATCGTGTGTTTTTTCCCAAAGTTGATCCAAGTTTGAAGCGTTTCCTGCAGCATCGGCTAAAGATTTTTTAGTTTTCCCCACAAGTGCTCAATTGGATTAAGGTTAGGTGACTCAGGGGGCCATTCCATGACATTAAAACTATGACTAGCAAGCCACTGTTTGGTCAGCAATGGTTTCTTCACTTCTCGTCGCTCTTAATCCGGTCTCAGCAAACATCTCCGTTTGTTTCAGCACTGTCATCCATATTATCACGCGGCCTACGCTGAATTTGGACAGCATTGACCTGTCCTGATCGAACGGATCCTTTTGGCGTCGGAAAATTTTGTTCTATGACCACTCCTCTTCTTTTTAAAACAACAGTCGTAAATTCCGGAAGATCTTTCAGGTTTTGCTATTACCACAATAATAACAATTTATTACTTTTTTTATTTAACGATAAGGAAGTCCTTCTTGTAGAGATTTTATTATTTGATCTTTCAAAAATGTAGAAAATGGCTTCATACTGTAATTAAACGGAATAGATCATAACCATTAAGGAAAGCAAATATTTTCAATATGTAAGAAAAATAACTAAATTGATGATAGCTGATAACAAATTTGAAACGATTTATTAATGGTTTTTGCGAAATTTGCAATGAAGTAACCCGAGTCACAAAACTGTTCACATGAAGACTCGTAATAAACTGGCTCAATTCAAAGGTATAAACATAAATAAAGATTATTAGGGTGAGTGTTTGTTTACCAAAAGTTCAACGAATTCAATCCTATTGCTGTTGTCTGGATTAAAAAATACGGGATTTGCAAATTAGAGATAATAGTAAATTGTTTACTGATGTGAACAAATATGTGAGTCACTGTATAATGTTAAAGTTTCAAGTTAGTGTGAATGTATTTACTAGCGTGAATGATGGTGCGACTTCAGCAGAACATTCATTACCCAGAAATCCGGTAAAATTTTTCGAACAAAAAACGCGAAAAAATAAATAAACATTACCCATCTCTTAGAAATTACTCAGAACTTGTATTTTTGCTTGAATGGTTTATTTTTAATTTTTGTTTCCCCTTGTATAAAATTGTCCTCCTGGCAAATCCTTCGTCTATATAGCATTATTTATTCTCGGAGTGAAGCAAAAGTTGGATCTGAACAATCGTTCCATTATCAAGAAAGGGGGCAAATTTCAGCATAGTTCGAAGCTTTTAAAAGGAAAGAGCTTAAAAAGTTACGACGTCCAACAAAAGCTATCGTAATGGAACAGAAACGAATTCACGACCTCCAACACAGAAGAGTCAAACATAAATAGGGGTGCCCTGTGGCATAAAAGGGTTGCAACAATCCCCGGGCCCCCCTCTAATTTAATAACCGGCTTTAAATGCCCGACCTGAAAAACCTAAAAAAAAATCCCTTTTCCGCCGAGCCCTTTAGAAAGTAGGTTGGGGTAGGGAGGTTTAATTAATTTTTTACCCTACAAATAAGACGGAAACAAAAGGGAGTTTTCTCGGCGCGTTCCAGAATCCGCGAAAGAAAACACGGACCCCAAGAATAACAGTAAAACGTCTGAAGGGGGAAAACTGTTTTCCCAAATATATCAAGGGCAGGGCCAGGACGGAATTAATGAAGGAGTGTGTGTGAACGGAGCCAACTGTCGGGCCAGGTCATGTTTAATTCACGGCTCACCTATTTGTAATTACAATGTGAGAATTAGTAAGGGCTCTCATTTACCTTTCCCTAATCCCATACGCCGTCTTGAAGGAAAATTTGCACACGGACCCATCCAACCGGTTAGGATTTCATTCTAAAAGGGCCAAACTTCCAATTGTCGGAGAACGAGGAAAGCGCTTCTCTACTTAATCCTTTTTTCACACAACTTCCTTTCTGAAAGGATTTGGTATAATCTATTCGATTATGCTCTATGTAAAATATAAACAATTAGTTTCTGTACTTTTACAATTCGAATGTTTTAATTTAAACTCAATGATTTGTTGATGTGAGGAGCATTAAAGAATGAGGTAGTTTAGAACCTAAATTTTTCATTTTTTTGCCGACGTTTCGACCTTTTTTCGGATCATCTTCAGAGCATAATATGTGGTACTATTCTGATGGTGTGCATAGTAGTAATATACAATGCGTCATATGGATAATAGTATGCCAAAAATGAAACTAAAACCAATAAATTAAAAAAGAGGGGGGAATTAACAAAAATTACACTTACTGGATCAATAGAAAATTTACAATGGTAGCCATCCTGGTAAGATTAATTATGCGCAATATTTACATTTAATAAATCATAATGAGATTTCGAAATCAGAGTGTAGAGGTTAGGTTTTGTCGAAACGTGATATAAATAATAAAAGGCAATTTAAAAATAAATTGAACTGGAGGATTATTTTGTACATATTGTGAAGTTTAATAGAAAATCTTCAGGCATTGAAATGCAAAACGATGAAATACATGTCTAAAAAATGTCCCCACTAATCTTTCCATTTCTTATTACAAATTTTCCTATTAAGTGTCAAATGGTTAAAAAAAGATAGGAATGAATAAGCTACAGAGTATTAATTAAAAATTTACCCAGATCACCTCCTGATTGATCCTTTTGTTGACAATTTTGCTTTATTATGTCGTTAATACGTACTACCGTTGCGTTTTTCAAAACATGATTTTTTTTAGATATACGAAGAAAAAATATATCACTATATTTTTACAACCATATAAGGAAAAGTCAAAAAAACTATAAAAAAATAAAAATATAATGCAAATGTAAAACACATTAGGAAGATGTTGTTAATAGTAAAAAGTTAACACGAAAAAATGGTAAAGAAATAATGAAAATAGACAGATTAACCGAGGAAAATCAGGAAAAGTGACAAATTCATATTCGCTCGAACTCCTCAAACTGAAGATCAGAGTGAAAGAGAGAGAGAGAGAGAGAGAGAGAGAGAGAGAGAGAGAGAGAGAGAGAGAGCACTATACTTTATGTGCTGAAGATGACCCGAATAAAGGCCGAAACATCGGCAGAAAAATGAAAAAGGGTTTTTTCAAACTACCTCTTTCTTGACCGCTCCTCACAACATCAACAAAGTATGAAACAACATGTCGCTAAGAAATATACATTTAAAGTCAATAATACAACATTCTAAAAATGACAGACGGTAGAAAAAAAACCAAAGTATTTTCCAGTCACCTCGCATGGATTGTAGAGCAAAATGAAAAACGAGTGACAGCGTAAAGAAACTAAATCGATGGAAGTGATGAATATTCTTATGCCTATAAGGTCTGATAGTATTTTCCAACGTGGGGCAATTGGAGTTTTAAGGGGGCAATTTTGAAAATAAAGCGTTTATATTTTTGGACAACTACGTGCCAATTCTCATTTGTCATTTAAATTTTCATGGTCCGCTTGACTAATTAATATATTTCAATTAATTAAGGATTTTAGTTATTATAATTATTGATTTCTAAATTATAATGCATGAACGTTGAACGGTTACAACGGGTAAAAATAAGGGTTACACATTTAATAAAAAAGACGATCGTTTTATTTAGTGGAATGAAAAACTAACATATGTACGTTTTGTATTTGGTAGTTTTGGTTTTTTGGTGGGATGATCCTGCCGCTGCCCGAGCCTTCTCCGAGTGAAAATTTCAGCGAGATCGCCACGAACGAGGAGAGCCTGAGGGAGCAAGATTCCGCCCGCGTCCTTTTCTTTGACGTCTACGCCGGGCTCACCTTCCAATTTCTGTTCTACTTCGCGTCAACTTCGATCGCACTTTACGTCCCGTCGGTGCAGGAATTTGCTAAAAGCGTCTACTGGACGGCGTGCGGGTTCCTCGGGGTGGCTTTCGTCGTCATCCTCGTCACGGCGTGTTTACAAAGGGCGAGAAGGAGCTACCCGTGCAACCTGCTGTTGCTCATCGTCCTCACGTATTCGTTGGCCGTTTTTCTAGGGATGTTCGCAGCTAAGCACGACCTCCAGGAATTCCTCGTCCTCATCTCCTTCACCCTAATCGCCAACATCATGGTGATAATCACAATTCTGACGATCATCTCGAATGTCTTCTGCCTGTGCAACACTGTCATTTTCTTTCAAATCCTTCTGTACCTTTGGACTGTGACCTTCGTCCTCGTACACGCCCTCCCGAATATGAAGGTGCAGCTGGCCATCGGCTGCATCTTCGCCGATCTCGTCTCGATTTACATTTTCTTCACGACGAAAAGGATCATCCGGGGCAGGTACGGCCACCTGGTGACCCCCAAGTGGATTCAGTCCGTTTTGACCGTTTACGCGGCGGTGCCCATCGAATTCCAAACATTGCTGCGACGTTGCTTGGGACTCGAAGCCAGGCCGTGATTACCGAAGAAAATATGGCAAATTTGACAAAAGAGTTAGAATTTTTGTTGAATAAACGTGTTTATTTGATCAATCATATGTCTTTTGTCAAACATCAACACTTTTGTTAACACTAAAAAAATCGTATCACAATAAACTAGCAGACTATTGAAATATCTTAAATTAAAAGCCAATTGACCGTTTTTGAAAGAAAGAGACAGAATGAGGGTGTACGTTTGTGGTTGTTTGTGTTTTTGAGAAAGAGAGAGAGAGAGAGAGAGAGAGAGAGAGAGAGAGAGGGAGGAAAAGAAACAGCGGTACATAGAGATAGATAAATAGATAGAGAGTGATTACGATGACAATAAGAAATAGAAAGACAAGAGACACATGTGTAAACTGTGAAAATAGGCAGCAAATGCTTGTTTGTAGAGGACAGAGATAAATGGAAAAAAGCACCATGACAACGGACATACTGAGTCTCAAAACATAGGAAGAATTGCTGCAAGAGTTTGGCAAGAATGACAGAGAAAAACATAGAAAACTAAAATATACAGATATAATAGTACTACAGGAAACCAAAGAGACGGAAAATTGTAAAACCATTTCTGTGAGAAGGATAGAGAAACAAATAGAAACCAAAAAGACTTACACAACAGTAAAGAATGTGAGTTAAAATCACAAAATTTAAATGTCCGGACATAGTACATACGGAAAAGTAAAAAAATAAAATTGACAACAAATGTACAGATAATTAAAGAATGAGAGAAAACCAGCAAGTGTTTCCTTAAGGAGGACAATTAAACAAATGTAAAAATAAAAGATACAGAAACAACTGACCTATAAACAATCCAAAAATGAATGAATGAACTGCTAGAGAAAGGAGAACAGAGACAAAATATATAAATCTTTAGGACTTAGCAATAACAAACGTATATAAGGTCAGAGAAAAAGAGGGAAAGTTGCAAGACATTTCTTGTGGATAACCGATAATAAAATGGATTAAAAAAAGAGACTGTAACAACAGAAAGAATAGGAAAGAGAAGAATAGGAACTCAAGAGAGAAAAAGAGAGGAGTTGTTAAACTACAACAACGAAAAAAACGTGCAAAATTACGTGTGAATATTTTACAAAAATAATTATTTAGAAGGATAGATAGAGTGTGAGTGATATTGTGCAAATCAGGGTTGTGTTAGCTGAGAATGAAATCATCAGAAATTATATCTGCAAACATAAGTGGACGACATTAATAAACCAATAAACCAGTCTGAATTTATAAATATATTTAGCTCAAAATTCGTTTTCACATTTAATAGGGTTTTTATTCAATGTTATTATTCATCATTTAATTGCGTTTCGGAATAAGGAAAGGATTTATTTCTCATAATTAACGCAGAGTGGTTGCCCGTCGATAAACAGAGCCAATTCAACACAAGGGTTGAGCAAAATTGACACAGGTCCGCCTAATCTCGTGTTGAGCTATAGTACATTACTCATAATTCAATTTTTTTGTATGCGCGTGCGTGTTGCTTCGAACAAATATATATCGACGAACTTATTATTTAACGGTCTCGTCACTGTTGTGCAACTTTCTTTCGTATTTCGGCACTTTTCCATTTTCATTATGTGTCTCAAGTTAACGTTTGACAAGTTGTTCTTTATAAATTCATTAGATTTCGTGGTCTGATTGACCACATAACAACTTTCAATTAATTAAACTTTATGTAAGGTATTGGTTGCGATAAAAAAAGTTAGTGTCACGAGCGTGATTCGAACCCACGACCTTCGGCTAAATACGCTGGTGCTCTACCACTTGAGCTATCGTGACTTTGATCCTCTCGGACACTAACTTCCCATCTCAATCCAACCTTTCGAATTTTCCCTCCTTTTTGCCATTTGAGATCTAGCCGAAGATCGTGGGTTCGAATCCCGCTAGTCACACTGACTTTTTTATCTCAACCAAGACCTTACATAAAGATTAATTTGCTTTTTATAAACTTAACAACGAACCTGACATATTTTACCTCCATGTCAACTGATTCGATTATTATATATTCAGAAGAAACTGTTTAAGGATGGCTATTATAAAGTGTCTTATCAAGCCGATCACTTTCTCCCTGGCAGTCGTTGAAATTTCGAAGCCAGAGATAAGCAAATAACCACTTTCCCATCATAGGCGTAAATACGGCTTTTCGGGCATCCGGCTTCTTGAAATGTAATTCGGAAGTGTGGAGTTTTCGTTCGTTTTCGCATGCTAATCGGCCCTGGTGAAAACCAAATACTAAAGCAGATTGGCTAACGCCTGAGGGTGACTCGATCAACATAGCGCTAATTATGTTCTGCATTAGACCGCCCATTCTTGCGGGCTTAACAAACGGAATAAAACGCTCCAAGGCGCGGCTGTGTTAAATTTCCGGCTTTCGCAATACGACGATTTACATTGAGAAACTGATGAATGGGGGATGGGGCTAGAGTCCCTCCTATCTTTCGACCCACATCGTCTTGTCAATATTTGCTCTGTTCATTCTGAATTTAACCTATACAGTGTTTTTACGTGAAGAAATTCCGATTATCTTGTTCTTTACAGTGAACCTTTACGTCGTCCTACGGATTAATCTGACTTTTAACTGCCAAGACAAAATTGTCTATCCAGTGCGCAGAACCAAATTTCTTGTATATGTCTGTCACAAATCACTGGTCGAGACGTCGAAAGTGATTCGAAAAGGCTTCACATAAACACATTTAAAAATTTATATTGACTACAAGAATACCGGTTTCATTAAAGTACTTAATGTAGAACAGGGTACAACACAGAGCCAAATTAAACGGGTATCCGACATTAGCAATCAGCACCAACAGAAGAAATCTTTTTTACAGGAAAAATTTGGGCGCAGTGACGACATTGGTAGAGTGTTGGAGACAAGTTACGTGAAATAAAGTCTGGCCTTGGTCATTTTTTAAAACCAGAATAGTGGATAAAAACAAGATTGAGAAGAAGGCATTATCGATTAACCAAGGGTGCCCTAATGAACCGTGAACAGCTTCCGACAAGTAACCCACGTAGTGAGATGGTCACCACAAACAATTTGTTACTGTCGAATCAAAATTGTACGTGATGTTCTTGGTTCATGATCAAGTTGGAACTGGAAGATGGATTGATTTATTCTGGAAAATGTGGTAGAAAGCACGGGGCCGAACATACTCGGGTGGTTCCAGTTGCAGCTGGGATTTGGAGCTGGTAGGGGTTTGCAGTCTTCCAAAACCTCACTCTTACCTTTACTTGTCTCTTTGTGATTTCTCTCTCTCTCTCTCTCTCTCTATATATATATATANTAAATATATATATGTATATCTTTCTCTCTCATTCTCTCTAATCTATCTACATATTATTTGTCTATTTGAACCTATCTTTATTTTCTTTACTGTAGATTATCTTACTCTATCTCTCTCCCAATCTTTCTATCTTTCTCTCTCACCCTCTCTAATCTATCTACATATTATCTGTATATTTAAACCTATCTTTATTTTCTTTACTGTAGATTTATCTTACTCTCTCTCTCCCCACTCTCTCTCTCCCTATCTTTCTATATCTATCTATATATTATCCCCATATATCTAACTTCTTCTACTTACTGTGGTAATATATTTTGTTGTATATATTCTCTCTCTTTCTTTCCCTCCCCCTCTTTACCTCTCAATCCCTCCTTAACTATCCAATATCCTAGCCATATTATTCAATCTGTGAATCTAAAAATATGAGTAAATACTTTTTTTCGGCCTACCTACCGACTTTAAAACTTAGTACATCTTTGTCCTTTTTTATCTTGATTTTTCATCCCCTGTGCTTCTTACACTGATACAAATTGTTAGTTCTCTCATTCTTTTACTTATTAATATTTTCTTGTCTATCTGCCCTCCCTATCTCGCTCTCGCTCTCACTATCACTCTTCCTCGCCCCTCCAGCTCTTTCTTACTTCCTCTTAATCGATCTACATATTATCTGTATATTTGAACCAATCTTTATTTTCTTTGCTGTAGATCTGTAGATTTATCTTACTCTCTCTCTCTCTCTTCCGCTCACTCTTTCTCTCTCACTCTCTCTCTCTCTCACCCTCGCTCTCTCCCTCCCTCCCTCTCTCTCTCTCTCTCTCTCTCTCTCTCTCTCTCTTTCTCTTCTCTCTCTCTTTCTATATCTATCTATATATTGTGCCCATATATCTAATGTTCTTCTACTATTGTGGTAATATGTTTGACTGTTATTCTCTCTCTATCTTTCTCCTCCTCTCTATGGCTCTTTCTAATATCCCAGCCATATTATCCAATCTGTCTAACTAAAAATATAAGTAACTACCTTTTTTCTACCTACCTACCTACCTATCTGAAAACTTAGGTAATCATTGTACTTTATTTTTTATCTTGATTTTTCATTATCTGTGTTTTTTACAATATGTCACAAATTGTCAAATTTTACTTATCAATAGTTCTTCGTCTCTCTCTCTCTCTCCCTCTCTCTCTTTCTATATATTGTTCCCATATACTTTCTTCTACTTATTGTGGTTATACATTTTACTGTTATTCTCTCTATTTCTTTCTCCCCTTCTCTATCCCTCTTTAAGGCATATTATTCCAATCTAAAAATATAAGTAAATACTTATTTCAATTAATTTTTCTTTTTATTTAAGGTGATGGTTGAGTTGAAAAAGCTAGTGTCACGAGCGGGATTCGAACCACGACCTTCGTTTCAATACGCCGCTACTCTACCACTTGTGCTATCGAGTCTTCGATCCACTCTGACACCAACTCCCCATCACAACCTACCTTTCGATTATTCCCTCTTTTTGCCATTTTTCATCAACCAAAACCTTATATATAAAGAATAATTAATTGAATTAAGTAATTTGGTCAATTAGACCACAACATAAATGGATTAATAAGTAAATACCTTTTTTCTATTTACCTATTTCAAAAACTTATTCATCTTTGTAGTTTATTTTTTATAAATTGATTTTTATATTGCTTTTTCA